ACTTGAAAACCTAACATCTGCCTCAGTCATTACCACACTCAAATGCCACTTCTTAGTACATGGGATACCACAGAAACTGTACTCAGACAATGGCACCCAGTTCACCAGCCAGACCTTTCGTGAGTTTGCCACACACTGGGAGTTTGTACATGTCACAAGCAGCCCTGAGTTTTCTCAGTCAAATGGACTCAGTGAAAGAGCTGTGCTAAAAGACTCCTTGAAAAATCACAAAGAGATGGAACTGATTTCTATTTGAACCTGTTACATCTACGCAACACGCCACAAGACAACATTCTTGGCTCACCGGCACGGAGGCTACTATCAAGGCGAACACGGTCAACCCTTCCTGTGTGCAAAAAACTGTTAAGCCCAACAGCAAAAGTGACAACTACTATCTAAACTCAACTCAACAGCACTATGACAAGTCCAGCTCGCTGCTCAGTCCATTAACACCAAAGCAGGTGGTGAGATTACAAACACAGAGAGGACATGACAAGATTGGAGTTGTAAGTAAGGTATGCGCTAAACCTCGCTCTTATGTAGTTGAGTTGGACGGAAAGGAAGACAGGCGCAACAAACAACATCTTCTGCCTGTGAGCGAGCCTCAACCGGAAAAGCTCGCTACAGCACAAAATGAACTGAACACAATTCCACAAGTGGATGAAACTGAACCCGATAAAGCACAAACATGAAACGATTCAAGTTCAACTCGACCCACCACAACTTGGCACAAAACAGTCCGAACAAGTGATCAAGGACAGAAAAACGCAGGGTAAAATGAAAACACCTAAAAATTGCCAAGTACGCTGATGACAACTTCCACCGAATCAGATCTGGTAGTGTCTAAACCAAATAGTAAATACCTGGGTTAAAAGCACACTGATGCTGTATCTTCTGTTTTGAAATGTGTTTTCTCTCATGTTATGTTGTTGCATATTTGTTGCATTTATGACAATGATTACCATGAATTTCATTCGACATATGAACCTTTATTTTTGTGTAATCCATAACCTGATAAGTTCTTCCATAGTAGTGGTGTTGTTTGATTTGGGTATGCCTAAGAAGTCCAAAACTAAAAGAAAAAAAAAGAAAGAAAAGGGGTAGATAACAGTAATGTTATGTTTGTCCATACTGCCTGCCGTTGCTGCTGTTACGGAGGTTTCCAGCAGATGTTGCTGTGGTTCTAACTTGGCTATGTGTGCTTCCTGTTACCTGCGAACAAACGCCTAAATGTGTAAAGTACACAGAAATATAATATATTTAAATGTTTCCAATAATCTTTGGTGCAGATATGATGTTTATGTTCTAAATAACAGAAAATCTGTAAATGATTAGCATTTTATATTTTACCAGTCACACAAGTCAACTCCAGTAGGCTGGACATATGATGCAAACACTTCCAGTGTATATATGATATTAACAGAGCCAGTGTAATCAGCAGCTCTAGTTTGTAGAAACTAGTTTCAAGGGCAAGTATCACTGAACTGCTGTTAATAGGCATTATGCAAGATCACCACCCAATAATATCTAAACTGAAAACAGATGAAATAAAAAAATACTTTGACTATAAAATCAGCCACGTGTCAGGGGACACTGCCACCTTGTGACGAAAGGAGGCACAGCGCCCTGGCACCACCCCAGGACTGTGAAACTTTATTTAACCTGCACAGTCTGTGGAGTAGGGCAGCACAGTCTGTGGAGTTGGGCAGCACGGTGGCACGGTGGTTAGCACTGTTGCCGCACAGCAAGAAGGTCCTGAGTTCAATTCCAACACCAGGCCGGGGTCTTTCTGTGTGGAGTTTGCATGTTCTCCCCGTGTTTGCGTGGGTTCTCTCCGGGTACTCCGGCTTCCTCCCACCGTCCAAAGACATGAAGCTTGTGGGGATAGGTTAATTGGATAATCCAAATTGTCACTAGGTGTGAATGTGCGAATGAGTGTGAATGGTTGTTTGTCCCTGTGTGTTAGCCCTGCGACAGACTGGCGATCTGTCCAGGGTGTACCCTGCCTCTCGCCCTATGACAGCTGGGATAGGCTCCAGCGCCCCCCGCGACCCTGAAAAGGATAAGCGGAAGCGAATGGATGGATGGAGTCTGTGGAGTAGTATTGAAACAAAGAGACAAGCAACCTGAGAAACTCCCGCTGCACAGCCTCTCCAGACACCAGTCGACACCTCCAACACTTCAGGGTCCTCTCACTGGGTTCAGAATCAGGGCTCACGGCACCAGTGTAACAAAACTTAATTACACTTTGCTGTAACTAACTGGTCTAAAAATTAACTTGACATTGCGTTGTGTAGTAAAAGATGCATTGGGGTGGCTGTAGCTCAGGTGGCAGAGCAGGTCAGCCACTAATCAGAAGGTCGGTGGTTTGATCCCAGGCTGCCTCCTGACTGTATGCCAAATATCCTTGGGCAAGATACTAACCCCATGTTTACCTACTGGTGGTGGTCAGAGGTGGCGCCAGTGTCCAGCAGCCTCACCTCTGTCAGTGCGCCCCAGGGCAGCTGTGGCTACAATGTAGCTGCCATCACCAATGGGTGAATGATGTAGTGTGAAGCGCTTTGGGGTCCTTAGAGGCTAGAAAAAAGTGCTTTACAAATGCAGGCCATTTACAATGAGACTTTCTTATCCTTTAGAGAATCTGTTTATTATCTGGATGAGAACGGCATAAGTGCTGGTCAGGCAGGTTGGCTCGTTACAGGTGGCTCAAACACAGGACACTACAAAAGGAGTAACATGTTCTAGTAGCACAGCTTGCTAGCTAAGCTAGCCAGTGTACAATACTATTATGTGACTATTTTAGCACTTCACATTTGCAACAGTTCTCTTCTTATTAACACTCAGACAATTTATAGTGCTGCAAGTGGCATTTATGCACCGTTTATGAGAGAGGGTGCCATTGAGCCAATAAACATCACAATACACAAATACACGTGTTAACATGGCAAGTGTAATCACATACAACATAAACACTGTTACACCAGCATGAGTTTTTTATCCTAAGTCTTTCACATCACAGTTATAATGAGGTCCATGAAGATCCAGTTCAGTCCACTCCCTGCAAGCAGCTCCTTACCCACTGATTCCATTTGCCTTCAACCCTCACATTCTGTTCCCACTGATACGTCACAGCCCTCAGCCAAAATGCCAGCAGCCTGTTCCCAGTGAAATAGTGAATGATAAGGTCAGAACTTCCAAAATAGTTGTCATTCCTTTTTTGGAAGTTGAAGCCAATGTTGAAGGAACAAGAAGATAAAAGATGCCTTTGACTTAGGCTACGTTCACACTGCAGGTCTTAATGCTCGATTCAGATTTTTTTGTCTGCTTGTTCACACTACAAATAAAATGTGACAGCAAACGTCCTTTAGTGTGAACCCTCAAAGCGGCCCGCATGCGCAAAAGAAGACTTCACACACAGCGTGCCCTGTTTAGACCAAGACCAAACAGTATTGTTTGACTGCTGGCCTTAATATAAAGACCTGTTTCAGACTTTACGTTTCCCAATTTAGCTTTAAGTTATAAAGTTATTGTGTTATTTACATTTGGCCTAATAATGATCCTCATTGCTGTTTTAGAGGAGCGGTGCTTCAAAGGATAGTTGCACATTTCTGTCAGAATCTGCAGATTATACAGTACAAATAAAATGTTCACGTTTCTCCAACGCTGTCTTCCCAACAGTTTCACTAACGTCTACACTGGATGGCCAGGAAGCGTTCACGGTGTCTTCCCGGGCGCTGATAATTGGCGTCTGTCTTGTGTCAAAGACGGATTGAGTGCGACATGACCATTCAAACAGCAGTCGCTTTCTAAAACATCAGATATGTATCGGATTCAGTACCACATACGAAAGTGAACCAGATCAGATTTGAAAATATTGGATTTGTGCCGTTCACACTGTCAGACCATGATCAGATTTGGGTCGCACAGGGTCAAAAAAGTCGGATTTGATGCGCTTTCGCCTGCAGTGTGAACGTAGCCATAGAGATCACAAGAAGAAGTTTAAGTTTTATCATTAGTCAAATTTATTCTCCTAAGGTTCCCATTACTGGATCTCCAGAAACATCGGTTTCATCTCAGAGGATGACTTTATGGAGTTCTGATAAGGAAAAAGAGCTAAAGCAAGGTCATTTATCTAAAGCAAGGTTATTTTTAAAAAGAAAACTTGGATGCCCCACATAGAGATACAGGAAAGACATTTAGAAATTCCAGTCTTCCTACACTTAAGTCATTCAACAGGTCACTGGGAAACTGAACAAAGTAAAAAAAAAGCAAATTAGAACTTCTAAGACCTAAACAATAAACCAGCTGTCTGAGCTTGCAAAGACCATATGCACATGACCAGTGTTGGGGAGTAACAGAATACATGCACCGCCGTTACGTATTTAAAATACAAAATATGAGTAACTGTATTCTGTTACAGTTACCGTTTAAAAAGGTGGTATTTAGAATACAGTTACTTTGTTGAAATAAATGGATTACACTGCGGTACTTTCCTGTTTCATATTGTGGCGGGTCAGGACTGTTTGGAATAATCTTTTATGGTTCTTATTCGTCCACACTTTTCTGTACATCCAAATTGTTTTTACCATTTTTTTCTCCATAAGCTCCTTCGTAATGATACCTTTTAACAAATTTTTACCGTTTGAACACTTGAGTTCCAGAGACTTGGACAACAATCTCAGCAAAAAAGTGGCAGACGAACATCATTGCAATGAAAATGTAAACCTGAATCTGTTAATTAAATGTTAACTTGTTATCTCTAAAAATACTGGTTAATATTTTTTAAATACCATATTTACATTTTCAAATGATATAAATCACATCTAAATATTCTCGGAATCATTTTCCCTTCATACATACAGCACTGTTACAGCAGTACATGACTAATATGATGAAATGCTTAAAGCAAGACCCTCCCAAAAAAGAAAAAAAAGAAAAAAAAAAGTTAAATTCCAATAATTAATAAAATACAAGTAAAATTTAACCTCAGTTGTATTATTTTTTATTTGCAATTCCCCCATCCAACCAAAAACTACATTTTTAAATGCTTATAATTACAGATTTAATCAGACAAGAAATTCTACAAGAAATATCCATTAATGGCACAAAGGTGTACAGAAAACACAGCAAGATATGCACAGGTCTTATATTTAGTCAGATCTGTTAAAGACATGAATGCAGAAGCACTGAGAGCATGAAAGTGAGCAGGATGTGATGCAGATCATGTGACTGTGCAGCTGATATGTCACAGCTTTAAGTCACTTCCACCACCTGCCTCAGCTCCTCTATTAGTGAAGCCAGCTCTTTCTCCAGGCTCATTATCAGACCTGAGGACACACAAGGACAGTGTTGTACTGTTACTCAAGAAATATGACATACATGTGAGGAGAAGAACTCACAACACACAGTGAGTACAGACACATAATATTTATGAGGTTTATTATCATTCCTCAGAGTGCGCCCAAATGCTACGTCTGCAGTTTGTCCAACGTTTGTTCATTCTGCGCTCCAGACGGGTTGAGCGCGTTTAAATTTTAATCGTGTTAATCGCGATGACCACATTAAAGCTGGCAGCCCTAATTTTGGGGGGAAATTACTTTGTCCATGTTTGGACTTCTGTGTTGTAAACGCGCAAATCAGTTCGTGCATGATTATATTGCTCCGCCCATCAAAAAGTCTGCACATGCGTGAATATATCGCCCATCGTCAATATTTGGATTGACGATTGTCAGTTGGAAAATGTTTACACATCGCCCAACCCTACCACCAGGCCCGTTCTCTTCACAGATAATCTTGCAAGTGTCACGTCTGTCACAGCATCTCAAACGCCATCATTTCGGTCACATTTGCTCATTGGGCATCTACTAACTACTACACCACTTCCCAAATCTTCATGTTTTTCTGTAGTT